GGTGAATGTGAGACATTAAAGATTTATACAAGAAACTTCTTGAGGGTGAGTGTGGACTCATTTTTTATTTATTCACACCTACATTCATCCACGGCCACAGCCACACCAATCCACACCCACACCCACACCAATCCACACCCACACCCACACCCTCACACCCAATCCACAAATTATCATTTCAAATATTAATTGTTTTGGTCTGACAATCGATAAAAATGGATTTATTTATGTTTCTGATCAGGAGAATCATGAAGTAAGACGATGGAAACAAGGTGATACAAAAGGTGAATTAGTTGCAGGTGGAAATGGGAAAGGAGATCGTCTTGATCAACTCAATTATCCTGAGAATATCTTTATTGATGAAAATTATTCTCTTTATATATCAGATAAAGAGAATCATCGTGTAATGAAATGGAAAAAAGATGCAAAAGAAGGAATTATTGTTGCTGGAGGAAATGGGAAAGGAAATAGTCTCAAACAATTATCTAGTCCTCGAGGAGTAATTGTTGATAATTTGGGTCAAATCTATGTGGTAGATTGTTGGAATAGTCGAGTAATGCGTTGGTGTGAAGGAGATGAAGAAGGTGAAATTGTTACTGGTGGAAATGGTGAAGGAGACGAATCAAATCAATTGTATAATCCCTATGGATTATCATTTGATAATGAAGAAAATCTTTATGTTGTTGATCAATGGAATCATCGAATCCAAAAATACCAAAAAATTTAAAATTAAAAACGGTTTTAATTTAATTTGATAAAACTTCGATTTTTATTTTTAATTTAAAATTAAAGAACCAAAATAAATAAAATCATTGGGAGAGAATTTTTGTTGAATGAATCAAATTAAAATATTTCTCACATTGTGAAAAACATTTGAATAGAAATAAGTTGTTTTTTAATTAGATTTATTTATGTGATTTTATGATTTATTGAGAGAAAGGGAAGAGAGAGGAAATAAGATAAATGAATAAGAGGGTGTGGGTGTGGGTGTGTATGAATGTGATAAAGTCAATATCTGCACCCACACTCACACCCACACAGTGAAGCAATTGAATATCTTTCTTTTTCGTTATTGTTGCTGCGAAATATTTCGAATTTGTCGAAGATTTTCAAAAAATAATAACCTTATAATGAACATCATGAGAGAGAAAAAAACAAAATCAAGCTAGAATTTTGTCAAATCATAATAACAAATAGCAAGAAATGGAAACAATTGTTGAATATTAACTTTAATAACAATATGAAGATTAAATACCATTCATAATATTGTATTTATACTTATCGAAAATTAAGCTGATCGTATATGTTCTTATATGACATTGAACGAAAGCGATTTTTTTTATTAGAGATATAAGGAAAAAAGATATATATATGCTAAAAGCAAATATAAGAAGAGTTAATGTTTATTATGCGACATATTGAAATCGAATAGCAACATTTGGTGGTTTTGGTTTTGGTTTTGATTTTGCTGCTTTTTTTGCTCGTAGTTGTT